CTCCTCAATATCAAAGATAAACATTACCTTAGAATAAAGGGTTGGAAAAAGATATCCCAAGCAAATGAACCTAAGGAACAGCCTGGAGTAAGCATTCTAATGTCTAACAAAATAGACTTCAAACCAAAATTAGTCAAAAGAGACTGGGAGGGGCACTTCGTACTCTCAAAGGGAAAAGCCACCAAGATGACATTTCAATTCTTAACATCTATGCTCCAAATTGAAAGGCACCCAAGTTTGTGAAGGTAACACTACTAAAGCATACATCACACATCCCAAGGTTAACCCTTTCAAAAACTCCTAGTAATGGGTGATATGGAGCCTGAACTGGCCATCTCCTGTAACCAGGCAAGGCTTTTAGTGGTGGGACTGAGATTCCAACCCAGCTACAAAACCTTCAACCTACACTTTATTCTGCCTGCAAGATGTGCTGGGGTAGAGGTGGCACAGAACTTGTGGGACTAGCCAACCAATGACAGGTCCAACTTGAAGCCCAAGCCACAAGAGGTAGCCCATGCTGGACCCTGCCTGGATGGACAGGAGTCTGAAATGGAATAGCTCAGAGACCTAGGGCAGAGCTAAACATTAAAACAAAACCAACAAACTAAAGTCAATGAACTGATTTCTAACAACATTCCACTATACTCATAGACTGGTGGCTCCCCTATTTGTCATCAGAGAGGCTTTATCCAGCAACTGATGAGAGCAAATGCAGAGACCCACAACCAAACATTAGACAGAGATTGGGCAACCCTGCAGAAGAGGGGAAAGGATTTTAGGAGCCAAAGGGGTGGAGGACACCAGGCTGCATATATGTTATGGTTGTCAGCTTGGTATTCTTGTGGGATTCCTAAGAGTCATAGTGGGGGTGTCTCTGACTCTTACCTGTTCTTGGGATGTTTTGATCCCACTGGGTTGCGTTGGTCAGCCTTGATATGAGGGTGTGTGTCTAGTCTTGTTATAACTTTCTGTGCTGTGTTTGGTTGACATCCCTTTAGAGACCTGCTCCCTTATGAAGGGAAACAGAGGAGGAGTGGATCTAGGGGAGAGAGGAGATGGGGAAGAGAACTGGGAGGAATGGAGGGAGGGGAAATTATGGCTGAGTTGCAGTGTATGAGAGAAGAATAAGTATAAATGGAAGGAACAAAGAAAGGAAGGATGGAAGGAATGAAGGAAGGGATGAATGTAGGAAGGAAGTAAAGAAAGATTTATGTGAGACCATTACACTCTAGAGCAAGCAAACAAAATTAAACATGCTTTAATTCTTACCGTCAATTGGTGGATTGTCTTTTGTGCAATTCAATTCTTTGTGAGTTAGATCTCTTATAGCTTTTTTTTCTTCAAAAAGTTGAGAGTATTTTTGAAAATAAACTGTGAAAAAACAGAAACAAAGCCACTCATTTTCACGAAAATATTATGGCTTTCTACTTTCTACTTACTGGTACAAAGATCTACCAAGTCCCACTTACATAAGTAGACAGAGCCTAAGATTCCTATCACCCCACAGTCAATGCAGTCCTCAGCCTCCTATTTGAAACCACAGGTACTTCCAGGACTCCAGAAAGACCATGATTTGAAAGGCAGGACAGGCCCACTGCCATGACTCTAAAGGGAGTGAGCCATACCCTTCCATGTTAACATGAGATGAAATCAGTAACTCCTGGGGGAGATGAAGCAGACAAAGATATTCATATTCAAGAATGTAAACTGCCTTGGCTTTGGGAGGAAAGGGGGATAGGTAATTCTGAGTAGCCCTAGGTTATTTTAGAATGTGAAATAGAAAAGAACTCAACACGTATCTATAGAACACGGTTTTCTTCCTTAAACTCTCCTCATTTCGACCAGCTTACTCCTCCACACGCTCACTCTCTCTTGGTTTACAGCTGAGTGGCTTTTCGCTACAACTGAATTTCTTTACCTACCTCCCTGAGTCTTTTCCTCCTTGCCCCACCACTTTGACTTCCTCCATTTCACTCACACCAGGTTTGAAATGGATCATAAATAATTCCCCAGGATTATTAGTTAGCCATCTTGCTATTGGACTCAACCCATTTCTCCTCCTCCCCAGCACTTAACACATTGCTCTGTCCTGGATTTGCATCACCGTTTATTGCCATTACTTCTTGTTGTTTTTTTATAATCTCTTCTCCATCCATCCACCCTTTAAAATGTAACACTTCCTACAGTGTTTTCTTGATTCTTCCTCCTCATACAAAATCTTCCCCAGTGATGCCATTTATTGCTATGGTCTTGCCTGCTGTCTGTATGTGCGGGATTTTGTGCTCACTAAACACAAACATATTAGATTGGACTCAGTATGCCCAAAACTGAAATCAACACCTACCAACTTAAACCTATAACTTATCCAAGATTTTCTACCTCTTTGAATAACTTCATGGTTGCTGAGTTTACATCATCAGAATATTAAAGTCACACTGTACTTTTTGGACCCCTTATTCCCTGGTTCTCCATATTCATCAGCATCTACTTCCTTGGTGTTGTGCTCTTTACCACTCAAAGTCGCCATGTCTCATGTTCTTCAGACACTTATCTCATTATCAGGTTAGAAATAGACCTTCTCATTTCTCTCTTTGTCCTAATGACTCTGTTTTCAGAATCCTACAAAAGCACTGTCTATAACTTAAGTTCAGTTACACCAATTCTCTATTTGAAATGTTGCAATGGTTCTCCATGGCTGTGATGCCTTGCAAAAAAAGACAACAACATTTAACTTCAGTATCCACACACTGTTTCAATGTGATTTTGAAATTTCCTTGGTTAACAACAAAAGGAAAGGAAGAAAGAAAAAGAAAAGAAAAACAGTGAAGTCTTCTGTGTGAGTTGCCTCCCAGATTCCTTTGGCTAAGAGAATGTGCAAAATCAATTCTGATTTATTATTAAGTTAAGTTGTTTAAAAGATTTATATATTTATTATACATAGTGTTCTGGCTGCATGTATGCCTGCAGGCCAGAAGAGGGCACCAGATCTCATTGTAGATGATTGTGAGCCACCATATGGTTTCTGGGAATTGAACTCAGGACCTTTGGAAGAGCATTCTGTGCTCTTAACCTCTGAGCCATCTCTCCAGCCCTTGTGTTAAATATTTTGAGAGACGGGGCTCATGGTCACCCTCAATCTTGGAAATCTGCAAGCTGCTATGTAAACAAGCCAGGACATCCTAAGGAATCATATAAAGGTGGGTCATACTGTTAGTCATCCTAGCTGGCTTCCTCCTCCTGGAAGCTGAGGTGCCTGGACTGGTAATTGACCACATACACATGTCTAAGTTCAGCTAGGACCAGAGGAGCCACTCAGTGAAGATCAGCCTATACTGACAAACCACAGAAGCATAAGATAAATAAATTATTGTCTTACCTCATTAAGTTTATGCTGATTTATTAAGCAGAAAACCATACTTGTTTAAAAAAACAATATTTAGAAGAAAAAAACTGAGTTTTTCGTAATGGGGCACAACACATGCTCTGCATGCTGCAATGTCTACCTAGGGAAATGTCATTTCTTCTTCACCTAGAACTGTATACTTCAGTCATTCACGCTTTTGTCTCTCACCTCTGTGACATTCTCGGTACACACAGTTCTAGACATAGTCTCTTTTAGGAAATCTGTGTCACACAAGACTTCTTGGACAATGTTAGAGACACTAGTCCATTTTTTCTTCATTTTTTTTAGACACAGATTTTTACATAGTCCAGGCTAGCTCCACACTTGCTGTCTTCCTGTCTCAACATCCTGAGTAGCCACTGGACCTGGCTGGCACTGATTTGTTGACTTTCCTCTAAGTTTCTGGAGAACAAAGTCCATGTTCTTCCTACACTCTGCCTGTTAGACACACTGTAAGACATACAGTAAATGACGACTACTTGATTCTAATGAATGAGTAAAACACCCTAAATACACTAGTTTGCATGCATTTTAAATTTTTCAGAAATTTTCGAAACTTTGATGAGCAGAAATCCACCCATTTGCTCAGTTGGCTTCTAGATTTCACATAATCCTGGGCAGGACACAGCAATTAGAAATCAGCTGAAGAACACTTCTTGGATAATTTCTTTCTAAGTCCTTCTTGTCCACAAGCTCATCCCAAGATGAAGGAGTCCTATACACACACAGCTTGTATACACATACAGCTCAACTTCTAAATGCCGATGAGTAAACAGATTTGACCTCCCAGTCTAATAAAAACAACACTCCAGAGTTTATCCACAAACCCACATATGCTCATAAATGCACTCCAGTTTCTCTAATGAGAATGGATTCCATTTTTTCCAAGACAATAGTTAAATCCAAGGACAGAGTAAAAGCCACAATGTAACCCTTGAATTATTTCTCCCTAATCAACATTTCTTCTCCATACTCTGTTAAGTGCTGGTGCTACAGCAGAACCTCTGTTCATCTAAGGCAGACATCATCTATTGATTCATTGGGGATACGTACAGATAAAAGCAGCCAAGAATACAATTGCCAACAGCAGGAAAAGTGTCATCAATGGTGTGAAGAGCAGTGAGGGGCGGCCAGGCTTACTTTGATGAGGGGTGGGCTTCACTTTGGGAGCTGGAAGGAGAGCACATTCATCTCATGAGTGATAAGTTTCATCCTTGTTTCTGCTTTTCCTCCCTTGTCTCTCTTCTTTTCCATGTCCCATAATTACTAATAGTGTGAACATTTGAAATAATAGAAAAATAATGTCCATTGTAAAAAACATTACAAAATATATAAAAGTACACACAGTATTGAAATAACTGGTATTAATATTTTGAGATCTGAAAAATAATTT